AATAAAGGCTCATCCATCTAAAAAAAGCCCTGTGGTGGGGGTGAGGCATTATTTAACACCTAAGTGAAAGGGCTCTTACTTCTGTGCCAGATTTCAGCTTGGGGAACCTGTACAATGATTTCATTTTAAAAGCAGAGGTGCACTGAGCTGGTGCACAGATAATTAATAATAATAATAGTAATAAACAATAATAATAGTAATCAAATATTATGGTTTACAGCTTAAGACAGTGCTTTTGGGCCAGCACACATGGTCCCACTGTGCAAGGTGCTGTACAAACACCTAAATGAGAGCAGCCCCTTCCTTCGAGCTGTTCAGTCTTAAAACTAAACAGGGAAACATGGGGAAATGGTGGCACACAAGGGCCTGAACGCCTGGGCTTTCCCCCCGTTTCTGGCAGGGTTGAGTCAGAAAACGATGTAGGAGGCAGCAGGGTGAGAAGGATGGAGCAGAGAGGCAGGGTGAGGACGAGTGCTGCAAGGATGAGCCTGCCAGCCTGCAGCAGCAGCACGGATAAGCACGGTGGGGGACGAGGGCATGGCCTGCAGAGGAACAGGGCATGGACGGGGAACGTGTCCTTGCAGGGAAACAGGGAATGGATAGGGATGTATCCCTGCAGGAAAACAAGGTACGGGTGGGGATGTGTCCCTGCAGAGGGGCAGGGTCATGGATGGGGACATGTCCCTGTGGAGAAGCAGGACATGGATGAGGATGTGTCCCTGCAGGAAAACAGGCCATGGGCAGGGATGTTTCCCTGCAGAGGACTAAGGCATGAATGGAAAGGTGTCTCTGCAGAGGAGCAGGACATGGATGATGATGTGTCCCTGTGGAGGAGCAGGGCACGGATGGGGACAGCCCACCGCAGCCCCCTCTGCTCACCCCATTCCCCACTGAGGGAGCAGACAGGTTACTGCTGCCCCGGGCATCATGTCCACCCCAGACCTGGGTTTGTGCAGGTGGTGGCTTCAGCTTTCTAACCTGCTTCAGCCCCAAACCTGAGTGGGGCCAAACCCACACAACACGGGCTCCCTGCAGGTGTGGGGCGAGCGTGTCCTGTCCATGGGCCCTTCTCTAGCCCCTGTGAGAGGTGGCCAGACCCACAGGCCCTGGGGGTTCCCCATCCCTGCATCCTGCTTCGCCCAGCAGCAAGGAGAGGAAGGCTTCCTGCAGCCGGGGTCTGCACCTGGATGGCGGCCTGATCCTGCTCCTTTGACAGTCCCGGGGCAGCCAGTTCAGGTGCTCAGTGTTCCCCATGGGGTCACCAGGTCCCACTGCTGCTTTGATGGGCTCGGGGCATAGACAGCGTCAGAGTAAAGACATGGTGGTCACCAACCCTCCAATAAGAGCAGAAAACCACTGGATTTGGTGTTTGGCCAGCTCATTTCTGGGTGTGCTATAAGTTCAGGTGGAATTCATTACCTGAGCATTGTGTGCACAGATAATTAATAATAATAATAGTAATAAACAATAATAATAGTAATCAAATATTATGATTTACAGCTTAAGACAGTGCTTTTGGGCCAGCACACATGGTCCCACTGTGCAAGGTGCTGTACAAACACCTAAATGAGGGCAGCCCCTTCCTCTGAGCTGTTCAGTCTTAAAACTAAACAGGGAAACATGGGGAAATGGTGGAAAATTTGCTGGAAATTGCTCAGGAAAAACCTGAGCAAATTTTTTTTTTCGCACAAAATCGCAATGAGATTATAAGAGTGAGCCTACCAGAATGGCTCTTCTTAAAAATATTCTGAATAACCGGGCCAAGGGAGGGGACCTCCATCTCCTCACACCCTGTGACATCCTTCTCCCTCCCGGCACTTCCTCCCGGTGGGATTTCTCCTGCCTAGGTTGATCAAGTCCCAAACCGGGGACTGCCAGGGGGATGTTGGCCGCCTCTGCAGTCCCCCGTCCTCGCCCCAAGCCCAGCTGTCCCACGAGAAGCTTCACATGCCTGGAGGGTCACCAGCTGCCCACCCCACTTCTGCAGGGGCCCAAGAGCGCTCCCAGGGCACGCGGGCACCGGGGAGGCCGTGAATGGGGAGTCAAAGAGGCCACCGAGCAGCCAGGAAAGCCACCACGATGGCCAGGTGTGGGCATGACCTCCTAGGAGAGCTGGTGGCACAGCCATCCCCCAGCTTTTCGCTTGCTGTTAGCTCTGTTGTTGCCTCTCCCAGCGGTACCCAGGAAAACACAAGCTCCTGTCCAGCACTGAGCTTTGCCGTGGGTCCTCAGACCCTCACAAGATGGGGGGCTGATACAGACCCGAGTCTCATCTCTCATTGCTGCCCTGCTTTGTGTCAAAGTGGAGGGCGCTGGCAAAGGATCGAGGTCCGGGCTGCAGCAGGGCCACGCAGGGTTACTCTGGAAAATATGTGCGCTGATATTTTATTCATCTAAAGCTGAAGTGGTCGGTATGAAAGAAAATAGCTTGTGGTCTTTCATACCTCGAGTCAATGAATTCCTGAGCCTTTTATAGCTCAGGAATGCTGGGCGCTCTTGGTTGGTTTTACAAGGCTGTGAAGCTGCAGTTTAAGGTCTGGATGAGCATTAATCACGGCGGGGATGATGACAGCTGCTCATGTTTTACCCGGCTTTCAGGCGGGTATCGCACTTCTGCACATTGCACCCTGTTTTCCCCACTGGTCTGAGACATTTGCTTTGGTCTGTGTGTGTGTGTGTGTATGTTACCTTCAGGCTTGTGGGACCACTGGGTCCACCAGTTTTAATACTGGGATGGAAGGGGGGCCTATGCCCAGCACACCATTGCAGTGCCAGCACAGGAGGCAGCTCAGCACCAACCTTGGGCACATCCCTGTGCTTTGCTTTTCCCCTCAGGCTGCTGTTTGAACAGCAGTCTTGCACCATGGGGGCGAGGAGGAGTGTTTCCCAAATTACCGTGACCTCTGTAATAAGAGCTACAGACCTGTAAGAAGATGGGGCTTGAGGTCCATGGGCAGACGGACCCTCAAGCCCCCATCACTGTAGGCTGATGGCCGGGAAGGGCAGCCCGGCACAGACCCCACCAGGTACCACCGACCCGCCAGGGTTCTCCCACCCCCATACTGTGTGTTTTCTGGGCGAAAAGCTCATCTGCTGCAGGGTACCCAAAAACCTGGCCAAGGGTGGTCCAGGGACACAGCAGGATGCTCAAACCCAGCCCGATTTCTTGGGTTGCATCCAGACCCCAGACCGGGGATCCCAGTGGCGAGTGGACACTTGGTAGCACCCTGCCTGCCGGCGAGGGATGTCTGCACTTTGTTCATGTTTCACTGCAGCGTACCTTAAATCCAGCTCCGAGAGGTATTTAACGATGCGAGAAGTCACAGCTTTTCCCCAAGAACGCACCTCTCCGCTGTTTGTACGTTTGTTCCTGCAATGCAGGGAAGAGAAAGCCCTGAATATGGTAACAAACCAGCGCAGAAGAGATGTTGCAGCTGTAGAGTATACTGAATCCAAGTGAATCCTGAAAAGGTCTCATCATTTTGGGTGGGATGTGACTCGTGATTTTTGAATGCCTCTATGGCAATTTTGTTAATATTTTTAGCTCTTCTGAGCTCTCTCACTGCGTGTTCTAAGTAGAGAGACCACTGTCCTGTACTTTTGGGAACATGCAGTAATCAGGGATTTTAATGTTTAAACAAATCGGCTCTGAAGTTTGCTTCTTTGTACTGTTTTTTTCCCCCCCGCTAGGTTAACATGCAAAACGTACTTAACTTGGAGACAGCGTTGCAGTGATGTTCTTGTTTTTTGGCTGGAGCATCTGTGGTGAGGGCACAACTGAAAAATGGGATAACACCCTGCCTTGTTATATCTGAACACAGTTGGCCACGGGGCTTTCCCCACCCTAATACTGATTTTGCCTCTTGATTTCTTTTCTCCCATGGCCTTGAAAAACCAAGCCAAGCCCCAAATCCTACTGTCAAATCTTGACTTGAAGAAAGCTGAAAAGCCACAATCTCAGCAATCACCAAATTTTTGTTCTTGGTGGTAAAGAGCCAGAGCACTAAAAATACTTCCAGCTGCCATGTCTTGGAGATGGAGCAATCAGACGGGTCAGGCCGACCCATGCTCGCACAGGGAACACAAGGTGCCAGGATGTGGGTGAAGCAAACCGCTGCTCGAGTTTCTGCAAAACCCCTGGGTCTTTGCTGACACGCTCCTGCCCAGGGCAGGTTGTGTTTTTTAACGTGTGTGAGGATTTGGGGAGAGGAGGTTGGGACAGGCAGAGGAGAGCCCACAGGGGAGAGATGCCTTAGTGGCTTTCATGCCTTTCATGCCTGCAGCTCCCTGGGACCTGATTCAGGAATTCTCCAACAGACACTTTCAACAGCATGTGAGAGCCTGCTGAGCAAACCTCCCTTACTCAAAGCCAGACACTTGGGTAACTTTTGCTCCCCTCCCCCAGTTTATTTCAGTTGCATAAGCAAACAGACGAGCAGTATTTCCACCGGGCTGGAGCACTCCCCTTGCCCACGCAACAGCTTGAAACGGGGTCTGATCTTTACTCCTTACTGAGGACGTTATAGTAATTCAAGACTATCTACAAGGTATTTAGGTATCTCACTCACACTGATCCAACACCTGTCAAATAAAGAAACCCCAGACCCTCCAGAACAAAAACAAACAGATCAATGGGAGTGCTATGCTTAGCGGCAATGCAGGGCTAAAGGATCTTTAGATCTTTGCCAAAGCGTCTCCTTAAGTTTCCACCCCCATTTCCTTCAGGTGAAGATGATCTCACTAAAATCCTGCTCTTCTTGCTTGTCAAAGCTCTCAGTTTGGTCCTCTGCTTTGCAGACCCACTGATTTTGTGCCCATATACACCTACTGACGGCACCTGCTGCGGGGCCTTTCATTAACAGCTATGAAAAACAGAGGAGATGCAACCTTAAAGTCCCCAAGGTATCACTTCTCAGTCTTAGCACGTTGTGTGCAAAGCTTAGACAATTGTTTAAAAAGTCCTTTCTTCTTGGGGACTGAATATATTCACACTGGAAAAGTGAGAAAAGAAACATGTTTATACATTTATTATATACAATATTAAGGCACAAGTTTAAACAGCAAAGAATAAGAAATCTTTGGCTGACCAACAATATCAATATTTGCTGTGGGTGACACATAACGTTCTTCATTTTCCCCCTATGTACAAATAACCCTCCAGCTGTACAACACTGTACACCAACTTCTCTATACAACCAATGACAATAAAAAATGACAGTATTTTACAACTAGTTACCAACGTCACCTGGAACGGCTACAGCACAGTTTCCCAAAACACAAAACAGTTCAAAGAGCTGGGAAAACCAGCACAAATGGAGTTGCACCACTGAGGGACTGATTTATGGCAGTAGCACTCCACGCAAGTCCTGCTAGTGCTTGGGCTGGGGGGAGGCCCGCTGGTCCTCCAGACCTTCCCTCCAGGAAAACTAACATCTCTTGAGTTCAACATAATTGAGGAGAATGAACCTTTGAGTTTATTTGAGCTGGGACTCCAAAAGCAAACGAGAGTTGCCTACACCATAGTCTCTAACAAATGGTTTCCTATATGTGACCATGAATCTGGTGCAGCATCGGTTGTAAACACACCTCCCACATACCAGAAACTGGAGGGACTGTGGTCTCCACGAGGAGGAGGAGGAGGGGGAGTGCTGTACTCTAGCTGACTTGGAGAAGCTGAGCTACACCATTACCAAACATAACCGAAAGCCACATCACACGTGCTGATCCAACACTGTTTCTGCTGGACACCTAGCTGTCTGCCTGTACACAAATTATTAAATAGTTTCATCAGAAGAAATGGTACAGCTGGTAATAAAATGCTTAGGGACTTCCAAGCACCTGGGTATCCTTATTTCTTGGAGAAAAATGATGAAATGAAATATTCACCACCATTTTACTTGTATTCCCTTGCTTTGTCTTCCTCCTGCCCCGCTCCAACCACAGACACTCGAGGAAGGGCTACGGAGGTGGGTCAGCGCTGCTGCCACGCGCAGGCCCAGCTTTTATGCAAACACTTACAACCTTTAAATTAACTTTAGAGAAAAAAATAAAATTATTTTACAAGGCATATATTAAGCTGCGTAACATCTTCCAAGGGTTTTACACATTTGGTTTCACAATGCAAAGCTGCTAATACTCAAAACACACAGTTCGCTTGCCCGCACAACCTACCTACCGCTACTTGGTTTAAGAAGTGCAAAAATCAGAAAGAGGGCGACACTGACGAATGTCTAATTCTATGTACACGCAAAAATAAGTGCATAGATTTAACATAGCCATTTTGTTTTTTAAAAAAAGGTATCAGCCAGGCAGTATTGAGCGCAGGGCTCTGGCCCCTGCAGGCGTTGAGGTTGCAAGGACTTCAGTTTTCAGTGAAAGCAGAGTTTAAAGTGCCTGGTGTTTTCACAATCAAGGGCTCTGATCCGATACCTACAGGAAGGGGTGACCTTGAGCCAGCCCTGAGCACACGATTACTTCCAGCACCCATCAATTTTCCACTCTAGGCAGTTTCACATAAAATCCCATCACCCATTTTCCCAAAGCCAAGTTCTTCCTAATGTCATTACGGTGCACCACAAGGTTCAGGAACCGCAAAGCCAACACAAAAATACCTCCAAGAGGAAAATTTCCCTATCAGCATGTGCAATGCATGAAGCAAATGGTATGCCATGATTAATGCTGCTGGTGAGTTGGCTGTCTTACAAAGACAGTTGCCACCTCTTACAGAAATCAGGGACTAAGCTGAAAATGAGAATTGTTCCACCCCGGTTAAAACAAGGTGAAAAGAAACTGCACCTCAGCACAGGAAACAGATGATGCTCATGCTTTGCTTTGCAGTTAAACCCTTCCTGGCCTGATCCTACATCCCTTAATCCCCAGTCCCATGTCAGCTTGAACAGCAGGTTTGTATGCTCAAGGAAGGTAGGATTTGGCTGTAGGCACTGAAAATAAGGAAAAATCCTGTTCTTACCACAAACACACTGATTCTTCCACTACTATGAACCACTGCACAGTTAGAGGCATCTTCTGATCTCACATGCAAGCCCAGATTAACTCCAGTGGAAATGCACCCACACAACCCCCCTCTGAATGAGCTTCTGCACTGCACAGCCCTTCGGGAAGCTGCCAGGATCCTCCCCCAACTTTCCCTCCTGAAACCTTCCCATCCTTACAAAAGGAATTGCTTCAGCAGGGTCCTCCTCCCCTCCTCTACTTTCATCCTCCATGGGAATTCCAGTCAACAACTGCTCCTACCAAAAAAAGAAGTCTCAGCAAGCTCTGAGGTTGCAAGACATGAATATTTGCACTGTAAATCCAGCTCCAAGAGCAACACTTGTCCAGCTAGGAAAGAGACACCTGACCTGCCTGCCCAGGAAAACCACACCACACCACTTCAAACAAATACTTAGAAGAACCCGCTGTGTACATCTATGGACCAATTATTCACTGAAATTAAGCAGTGAATACTTTTGAGAAATGAATTGATACTGAGAAAGATGCAAATTTCTCCTGGGTTATTGAGAAACTCCCTCTGGCCTCAAAAGAGCCGGGATTTCTTTCCCTGTCCCGGCTGCAGAGAGGCAGGAAAACAGAGCGGCAGTTTGCACCCAGTCTGTAACTTCACTACCTTCTCTTTACACCAGAAAATGCAGTCTCCTTTTCCCTCAATGATCCCCTTCTCACGCCACATTCCGTTTTCAACGCCCCTTTCTGCTCAGAAAATCCCAGATGTTCATTTCATCGCTCCTCTTCAGCGCTCTTGACTTCTCGCCTGGTCCAAAGTCAACTTATCAACTCAAGCTTCATTTCGGGCACAAACTTTCTCTATCTTTCTTCAAACTCTCAGGGTTAGTTTTTAAGGTTGGCAGACCGAGGACCATCTTGGACCTGGCTGTACGCACACAAAACCCCAGAGATGCCGTCCTCTGCTCAGATGAGGACTTCCATCATGTCTGTATCTGGAAACTCAGGCTTGTGGAGCAAGCTGCTCACTCTGCCTTTGCTGTCGGGCAGCTTCCCATGGCTTGAGTTCTCTGCAATGAGAAGAAGGGAAAGTTGGTCTTCAGCTCAAATTCAACAGCAAATTGTTCAAAGCAAATATAAACCCATTTTTTTGGGGTGGTGGTGGAGCACATCTTAACTGTACATCCTACATACTGAAAGCCAAATTTGATCAGGAGGCCAAGAACATGTCATGCTGAATTCCCTGCACAATGACAGTAGGTGTGTTGGTGTGCATAGACCCCAAGGGCAGGCGTAAAGACAGTATTTAAGAGATACAGACCAAAGTACCTCTTTAGCTGTAGCCCTAGAGATAAACAGGCATTTGTGAAAGGTCTACATCACTTTACCAAATTACTACTTGTCATCTGATCCACAGTAGCTCTCCACATGTATGCTGCTACTCTCCATCAAGTACAAAATTTTGGAGTTTAAAACATTACGAAGGCAGTACACAAATAATCAGGTAGGTGGCTTAATCTAAAATGTATTACTTTGCCAGTGGGATGGGCTAAGAGAATGTACATGGCCAATTATCACAATGTATGATAGATGTTGTTAGGTGTTTATCTTCACCACCATAGTTCTCGAAAGTCAAATTCAGGGAGAAGAAGGACTCTAATTTCTTACAAGCAGGAACAGCTTGAAAGGCTATTTTAAAAGTACCTGGAAACAAATTCCAATCTGGATTGCCCAAAACACAGTAATCCAGATTTTCAAGCAATCAGTGATATTTGGCCCGATCAATGATACATGGCATGTTTTTAGAGGGAAGGCTTGCTTTTGAGACAAGATGAATGTGTAGGAAACTGGGTTTTTCAAAATAATGTGTGTAAAATAAACATCTCCCTTGCTGCAAACCAGCAGTTTCCACCTTTCAAAAATAATTAAAATTGTATTTCTTTACCCCCCCCCAAATCTCCACTTTCTCCTTACTATTTCCCCACAGGTTTCCTTTAAAAAAATAGGGAGAAAACGGTGCCTTCACTAACCATGTTTTAAGCTGAAAAAAAGAGAAGGGTCTTAGTATGTGAGCAGGTGTGGAGTGTTTTCAAGGTGTGAAACTGTAATTTTATCTTTGGCAGCATGAATAATTGCATTTGTTGGAAACTCTGCCTGCCGCAGGCAAGTGAAGCTTTACAGAAGCTGCCAAGCACAAAGCTCTGCAAAGCCAGACCGGGCAACCTTGGAAAGTTCCCTCCCTACGATTTTAGTTTCCCTGAAGAAACCTCCCACCACCTTACAAATTGTGAAGGCATCGCCCCCCTCCATCAACACTGGGGTGCCTCTGGGGATCCACTGACAGCCCTGGGGATGTTGGCGTTTCGCACCGATGCGGGGATCTGGCAGAGCTCACCCAGTTTCTCACTGGCCACTCGTGTCCCCGGGGGCCGTGAGGCCGGGCTGTGCGACGGGGTGGTACCCAGCCGTCCACGGCCGGGGAAGGAGGCGGTGGCGGGCCAGAAGAGCTCGGCGCTCTTGTCCGTCTGAGTGCTGCTGTCTTTGCTGCCTGTCTTCGTGTGGGAGGCCGCCGGTGCTGGGACAGGCACACAGGACAAGGAGGGCAGCGGAGGAGGCAGCGAGGGGCCCGACGGGTGGTCGTGGTGCTCCTTCCCCAAGAGCAGCCCTGAAAACACGTGGTGGTCAGTCACATCCCAGCTTGAACGTAAGTGCTCTCCCTCTGTCCCACCTCAGAGCTACAAGGCGCTGGTCTGGATATGTCTCCAGTCCTTTAGCTCGGCTTAGCTCTTCCCCTTGATACCGCCTGTTGCTCTTCTCCTGACATCCACATGGTACTTTCCTACAAAACCAGCCTTTTGAGAGCAGCTGCCCTTTCTTGCATCCCCTTCTGCACGCCTGTCCCAGAGGTACCCCCGGCACAGCCTCACACACCTCCATACCCCCTGTCCCATGCGGCCCCAAACCACAGTCCTGCATTCATTTTCCCATTTAGCTGCCGCATCACATCATGCACTCCTACCCAAAGGGATGCTCACCCTTTTGTTTAAGCGTGCTTTTTTCCTAGCCTAAATTTGTTATTTACTCCCACAAAGCTGCAAATATCATCTGCTTGTTTCTGGCAGGCTTTCCCCCAAAGATGGCTTTCCGTAATCAGTGCAGAATGATTTAATATGATTAAAGATATAATTAAGATACAATGCAAGGTTAAAAAATGACTAATTTTTGACTTCAGCAAAAGGACACACGTTCTTTCCATGGAAAGTGCTCTGGAAATGAGCCGTCGGGGCAATGTGTGCCACGGCCAGGGTCACTTTTGCTAAGCTCAAGCAGAAGGATTAGGACGAAGTGATGGATGAGCCAAAGCTTAAGCAAAAACTGAGCTCACCTATGCTTCCCTTCCAGATCTTCTCTTCCTTCTTCTCCTCAGCTATCTGGTTGCTGGTGAGCGAGGTCTGGCGTGAATGCACGCCCGTAGCAGCAGCAATGGAGGGGACGGACCGAGCTGGTCGCAGGCTGGTGCTGTCGGCTTTCCCGGGGTCCTTCCGTGACCGTTGCTGAAGGACCTTGATCATGGCATCCTTCTCAATTATTTTTGCATGGAGATTCTTTATTCTGCCAAAACATGAATGCCTTGCTTACAGGAATGAAAGAAACATTTGTATGGGCAGCTCTCCTCACCCTGGCGCAGCAGGATGGGTCCCTGGGTACATGCCCTGCGGCTCTGTCCCCTCCAGTTTTGAGTGACTCGGACAAGGCAGCTCCCACCAGTTCCTCTGAGGATAGCCGTGCACTTTGAAACAGGCAGTGTTTCTAGCTATTAAGCCAAAACTGGGAACTCTTTTCTGCAAGGTTAACTGAACCCACCTATTGCTGTGGCTTTACCAGCCCAGCAGGAGCGATGAGGGCAGTATCCCGACTGGGCTGCAGATTGCTACCTTCACCAGGATACAAACACACAGGCAATTTCCACCCCGTAATACATCAGGGCCAAATGTGGAAACTCTCCTTTGGCAGGCTGAGTTAACCCCACGATTCGGGTCTGTCATCAGCCGGAGTAAAGACCTGCTGAAGGTCTTTACCTTCCCGAGCGGAAAGGTTCCCTTTGGTTTGTCTAACAGTTGGGCTGGGCTCTTGCTTCTCCCTCACTACTGCAGAAACGATCAGCACACAGTGTGCAGAGCTGAGCAAAGCTCACTACTTCTCTCATACAGACTCCGAAGACTCTCAAATCACAAAAAAATAGGATTCTCTGAGACTTTTCTCCAGGAATGATTAACATCAAATCATACCGAAGGACTACAAAACCACATTTAAAAAAAAATAATTGTACATGTACAGTATGACAGCCAGATGACTATAGCTTGACTGTGATGTACAATATATAGTCCAATGCAGCTGCATTTGTGAAGCAGTGAAAGCTAAAATGCCGCATCTGGAAAACCTACACGTACAAGGGAGATAGCTACTAACTTCATGTGGGCATTAGTTTTCATAATCAGATGTCTAATTTGCAATGAAAACACAAGATCATAATCTATCTTTAATGAAGTCAATGGCAAAACTCCGTTACTTCACCGGAAGCAGGATTAGCTTGCATCTGTGAGTGGAAAACAAAAACCAAACCCAGTAAAAACAATCATTGATATTTTCCACAAGCAACAAATACACCTTTTTATAAAAGTGTCTGCAGACGGGTGTTTTTGTGGGGAAGCCAACACTGAAGACCAAATTTTAAATAGTTTTTCAGTAAAAACCTAGAGGAATACACAAACTTTCTCAAGGGATTTTTACTCATCAAAAGGCCAATTTTTACCAGGAAAAAAGTCTGGATTAAAAATACTGCCCAGGTCTAACACTCATTGAACTACATGGCCACATGTCCACTTGTGTGCTGAAAATGGAGAAGTATCTGCAACAACGAATGTTACTCTCGCTGACTGCCTGTGCCCAAAAAAGTTTATTTTATATCTTCTACTGCTTGTAAATGCATCTTTTTTAGTGATGCTCATGGTGCTAAATTTTGCAGGTTTGTTCCTAAATGCCAATGTGACCATCACACAACTTGGATGTGGGAAACAGCGTATCTAGAAAGAGCAGTAAGCAGGCAAGGAGTGAAGAGCGAGGCAAAGGCAAGCCCTGGCGTTGCTCATTATGTAGGAGTGGGATTACAACTTCAGCTTTTACAACCAGACACTCTTGTTTCCAGAGGGGGATTTTCACTGAGATTAAACAAGCATTCAGCTTCCTCGCGTGCCAACCTCCTTTTAATAGTGGAACAATGTCTGTTTTGTAAGGTCATTTTTGGCACAGAGAGGTTTAACGGGAAGGTAGGGGGGAAGTTATCTAACGACAGCAACTCTTTAATCCCTGTTTTAACGCTGAAGAGCAAAACTAAGTCAAGTGACGCTAAGCCCATCCTTTCCAGGCATGCATGAAGGAGCAGAAGGGCATCCTGGTTTATCTGAACTCAGCCCAAACCCCACGACGAGCAGGTACGGCACGACGGCCCCTTACGTGTACTCCATGTCCTGGCAGCGCCGGTTGCGCTCTCCCCCCCCCCCGGCCAGCCCCGCCCCCCCAGCACGCTCTCGCCGTAGCTGCCGTTGCGCGAGTGGCTTGGGGCCGAGGCGTCCCTGGCAAAGCGGTTCAACAGGGTGAGTCAGGCTCCTGAGACTGTGAGGGCAGCTTTTGCAAGTGAGATTGGTCCTTGCAAAGAAAACCCCAAACCCACATTCAAAAGCAAGCTACTGATGGTTGCCTTCAAGCAGACAGCTGTCTGGTGTTGGGTGCCTTGCTGCGGTCTACTCTTGCCTCAGGTTTAGTCATTAACACCATTAAATAACTGGGCTCATTGAACAGAGAGCACGCTAAAATCGTGGGCAAACCCCATGGGGCTCACAACTGTCCCAGAGGACAGGGTCAGACATCAGAAGGACTCACTCACTGGGGAAATGGTCCCAAGTCAACAAGACTACATCACAAATGAGAAACAAAATTGCACACTCTGGAATGTGAAAAATAGCTCAGGAATTGCTGCCTAGACTGGAGTGCAAAAGAAAAGGATCATCCCGAGTCACGCACTCAACTGTGTTTCAAAGGGAAATCTCATTTTAGGATGTTTTCAGGGCATTTGGCTTCTAAGAAACTGGGGTGAGAAGTTAATTATCCCATCCTCCTCATTGCTGGAAAGCCTCGCTGCAGTGCCTTGTGTACTTCTTGGCACCACGCTTTGACACAGACAAACTGGAGACAGTCCAGGCAAATGCCATGGGAATGGGAAGGGGTTTACACTAGGACGTGAGGAATGGCTGAAGAAGTTAGTTCAGGCCAGGGATGATACAACAGGGCATATCTGTCTTCCAATATTTACAAGGCTGTTACAATGTCGACAGTGATCTGTTGTTCATCATGTACACCTGGGAAGGACATGAATCAATTGAGGTAGTTTGCCGTAAAGAAGTTTAGCTTAGCTATCAGGAGAACCTTTTTATTTTGAAGCTTAATGAAGTGGTGAAACAGGGGACTTAGGCCACAAAATTTCCCTCATTACAGGTTTTTAAAACTAGGTTAAACCACCACGTTGCAGACTGCGGGATGGATGCAGCCACGTATGAACAGTCTCTCCTTGCTCCATTGGTGTGGTGGGGAGGAGCTGCCTTATCTATGCTGTGCAATTTGGCAGCCCCAGTCTTTGCCGTTGAGGCCATGGCTTGAGTCTGGTACCTGGATTTGATAAACTTTTGGACCTGGTCAGAACGGTAAATCCTGTCTTAACCAACTATTGTATCTCACTGGCATGACACCACGGAAAGGCACATTAACCCTTGCAGTGCGACTCAGCAGGGAAAGGCAAGCAAAATCCAACTGTAAGAAAACATCCATTCCTCATTATTCCCCCATGCTTTCTGCTGCAAACAGAGTTGCTCACTTGCAGCAACATCTCACCTCTCCGTTGCAGCTGTGGCTGCGGCATTCATGGCAAAGTGCCTGATCGTACTCTCCTCCAGGTACTTCTGCTCCCACTTGGTCATGTCGGCTTCCAGGGCCAGGATCCTTTCCTCCTTCTCCCGCACTAGCTCCATCAGGGCTGGGGCATTGTGCTCCGGGAGGCTGCTCGCCTGGTAGCTGCCCTGCCTCTGCCAGTGGAAACAGCAAGATATTCACCTCCTGCCAAGTATGGGAGCTACTGGCCCTTTTTTCCCCACGTCTTCTCTGGAGCTCACAAAGACATCCCCATGTCTTTTGGCAGGGGCAAGGGGAAACCCCGGCTAAACCCCTTATGTTGCAGGAGGACAGGCAGGCTGACCATGTGTGCAAGCCCAGCACATGCTTCTCCGGACCATGCTGACAGAAGTAGGGATCCAGCTGCTCCCTGGATGTGCAGGGATTTCGTGGGATATCCCAAGCCAAGGGAAAAGGTAGGAAAAAAAGCTGGTAGGAAAAAGAAGCAACGAAGCTTTAAAAGATATTCTTTTTGCTGGGACTTCATCACATGGCTGGGCAGTGCTCGGTATGGACAGGCAGTTATTACCAGAGGGTTTATATATAAAAGCAGAAAAAAAAGTGACATGTAACCTAGCTACATGTAACTTATTTAAAACAGTGGCTGGGAAAATATCCCAGACATGGATTTACGCCCGTCTCTTCTAGCACATTAGTTCTCATGTGCCCTCAGAAGATGCTTTCTGTAGTGCTGCAGGTAACTTTTGAAGATCCCCAGGCACTGTAGGGTGGCTCCCATGGGATGCTGACAAGCAGCAGTGGGTGCGTAACCCCTTGCATCTACGCTGTGAGGAAAGCACTTATCCAGGCAAGATTTATCCCGCCCAGTTACAGGCACTTAATTAAAGCACCTAAGTGGCACAGGTAGCCTTCCCGAGCTCCTCTCACTGCTGGTCGAGAGTGAAGGAGGATGGAGATCCAGCTCTCGGCTCAGGGGAGGTTGGGTGGAATAAGGGCACCCGGGGGAGAGGCATGAAGCTCGGGAAGAAGTCAATAGAAGTAAATGTTTTTTTCAATAAAAAAATGCAAGAGATTTGTTATACTCCATGGTGCACAGGACTGTGTCAAAAGGGAAACCGTATCTCGAGAGCACCGGCTTCTCATCTGTGCTACACCATGAGCTTCCACTGGCAAAGCCCCTCCCTGGTGCAGTACCAGCACACCAGAGCAAGGGCTGCAGCAACTGTTTCCATTTTCCAAACCACATTTCCTCCATCTAGACACTTATCTCCTGCTTACGGGAAACTAGAGATACCAGGGGAGGGCTGTGGCCTTTGCCTTTGGTGCGGTAACGTGTTTGGAAGCTGCTTTCTGGAAGAGAGCAATATGGAGTAACTCTTAGGAGCAATGGCTGCAAGTCTTCTCCTGCAAAAAACAGCACTTACACTTCAAATATTGTCAAATCCCTGGCAGGAAGGTAATATTTTGGAAGCACAGCCCTGGTCTGTAAATGGCATCTTGGGACATCACAGGTGCCTGTCATCTTCATTTTCAGTCAAAACCTCTGCCAGCCCTGCACGCTCAGCCTGTAACACTAAGTCAAAGGATTTTTTTTTTGGTCCTAGCTCATGCATTAGCGATAATGAAGGTTTGCTATTTGGACTCGGTTACCAATAAGCCAGGAACAGAAGATACTCTGGCTCGCTGTCTCCTTGTGTGCTGCGTCTGTACTGCTGACTCCAGTAAAAAGGAGAAAAAAAGCTCTTTTTTCTCTGTGATGAGAAAATATTTCAGTAGATATAACTTTGATAACTCAGAGAAGACAGCTCTGAAGTAAAAAGTTGGGGCGCCTTGAAGCAACGTAATTCATTGCAGGGTTGTGGCTCATAAAACAAAATGTATAAATAGTAAAAAATACCCCAAAGTCTCCTCTCAAAGCTGATAGGTGAGATGTGAAGTCAGAGTATCTTTCTTCTTAAAACTTGCTAGAGGGAACTGGTGTAGGCATTTGAGAACTACGGCAATCCAAAATGCAGTTGCTGATTACAGTGCCAAAAAAAAAAAATTAAAAATTAAACAATCTGTAAGTTACAGAGGAATTTTCTGCCAAAATGAGCAGACGTAGCCTGAACTCCCAAGACAAGGACTTTGTTGACAGTCCATCCCAGTAACTTAATATATCAATTTGTCCCTATATTCCAGCCCAGAGAACAAAACCTTTTCTAGTTCTAGTTTTACCTTCACTTGAATTTTAATTGTATTTTCTCAAACGTTCCTTCATTTGCATCAGCATTAGCATGTCATACCCCATGTAATTTCTTTTTTAAATTGGAGGAGAGCAGGCGAAGGGGCAATTCAGAAGAGCTACTGGAAGAAGATAGGAACAGCAAGCCCATGGTGGACAGGGCAAGAAAGATTTAACATACTTATACAGCAGCAAGGAAGAGCCAAGATGGATGGAAAGGGTCTCCAGGGAGCAGCAGTGACAGTGATGCCATTGGAGGGGTGCTGGGGGAACTGCCCTGCCCTGCGGCTGCCAGCGAGGAGATGCTCTCAGGTCCGGCCACCTCGTGACTCTGCAAACTGCTGATATTGCCCATAAAGCTGTTTCCCAGCCGCATCCTGCCAGCAGAATCAGACCCTCTGCTTTCTGGCAGCACAAGCTCTGTGTAACAGCTGCTTTGGTCTCCACTAATGGCTCATAAATAAGGAAGGGTTATTGTAGCAGATATATTTCTTGACAGACTAACTCTTGAGTGAGCCCTTCAAGAGTTACAAAAGCATCATGCTTTGCTTATGTTGCTGGTTTTTCCCCAAGTGGTGGTTTGATACACTTAGTACATCTGCTTGCCAGTGCCCGTGTATTTGGCACTTGGTGCTGGCTGTAACCTGGAAATCCTCCCTGCAACCTCCCATGCTTCTTTCTCCCCTTTTCACAGATGACTGGACTTCGGGACTCGGGGATGGAGGAGAACGTGAGAGACCAGGTTACCTAACCAAAGAAATAACTGTGCATAAAATACAAGCATAACGCTATCCCTCCGAGGACACGGGGCTGCCAAAAAACCGAGGGGACAGAAATGCAAAACTACACTTCTAGCCAGTCTGGACCGGACAATAATTTATTGTCTGAAGATGATGACACCATTGGACTCGATTATCGTTATGGGTCCCTTCCAACGAGATGTTCAATGATTCTATGATTTGTCTCCAGATCTGTTATAGACAGAGGTTTCTGTGAACCAAGTACATCTTCTTTGTCCAGAATGAATATTGCCTGAGCCCTTACTCCCACCTAATCCCACATCATCCCACCTTGCTTTTTCAATAAAAAATCGGCCAAAATCTGTGGGCTAAATATCACGCCCACGTATACTGCACCTTTCCTCTCTTCCTTCAGTGTGGAGCTGATCTTGCACAATCTGTGATTGCTGGAGAGAAACCTGGAAGGATGTTCTCCCCTGGCAGGTGTGGGGGTACACGTAGGGGCAGAGCCCTGCCTGCCCTTGAGCAGGGGAGCAAGGACCTCCCAGCCCCACTGCAGGCAGGGCTCAGCCGCGTCCAGCAGCCCCACTGTGGAGCTCCCCCATCCTCCACTGAAAATCATGAGTTAGAATCATAGAGTGGTTTGGGTTGGAAGAGACCTTCAAAGATCATCTAAGTCCAACCCCCCTGTCATGGGCAGGGACATCTTTCACTAGATCAGGTGGCTCAAAGCCCTGTCCAACCTGACCTTGAACACTTCCAATGATGGGGCATCCACTTAGGAAAGGCTTAGGTGGAAAGCCCAATGACCTGAACCCAAAAGCAAGGTGGCATCTCGCAGGGCTGCAAGCGACCATCCTTCTTTAAAAGCACTGCCAAAGGCCCCATGCTGGGGTCCTGCACAGACCACTCCGTCCTCACCTGCTGCATCCGCAGTGAGTCCAGCTCCCGCTCCAGGCGTGTGCGCAGCCGCCGCTCCATCTGCTCCCTCTTCTCACAGGCTGCCTGCAGCTGCGTCAGTGCCTGCTGCAGCTTCTCCACCTTCTCCACGTAGGCCTGCTTCCTGCGCAGCTGTGGGGGACAGGGGGTCAGCAGCGCTGGGGGGCACCGCATACCCGCCCTGGGCCACTGAGACCGCTGTGCACTTGTAGGTGCGTGTTGGGCGCAAGCATGGCTTTGGCCATTTGCTTTGCAGAGTTTCTGCAGGGGAAGGATGGTGCCCCTTTGATGGGCAGGGAAAGGGCATAGCGGGCATTGCTGGGGCAGCTCTACCCCTTTCGGAGGGAATGCTGCCCAGATCTTCCACCCTTTTGGGATCCGGTACCCATGAAACCCGCTGGCCATTTCTGAGCAAGAGCAGTCATGGTGGATACTCTTCGGGCAAGCACACAGGCTGGCCTCAGCTAAGAGGAATCCCAGTGGGTTTTATTGACTGGTGACACTTGGCACATTGTCTGCACCCAAACAGAGTCTCATTTTTTCAACCCTGTGTATCTGTCCAACACAGGTGGAACAAGCGGAGTGCCAGCAGCCAGAAGCACTCCACCTGCTCTATCCTGCTCACAGGCTTGGCCATATCAATGTGCTGGCAGTTAAAGGTGGGCCCTCCTTACGTATATAATGCAATTACTGAAGGGCTAAACATGACACAAGGATTTTGCAATACAGAGGTTTTTACGGCCAGAGGTTGCTCAAGCAGCATACCCCAAAAGGAATTTGCAAGTGGACTGCAGATGTTCAGGGTGCTTAGCGGTTATCCCCACTTCTTCTGCCCTCCTACCATGCCACTAGGCACTCAGTGACACCACAGGGTATCGTGATCAGGGCTCACGGCAGGAGCTGGCACACTTGAGAGCCCTCGCGGAGAGGAGGCTGCAGATGCCGGACATGCTGGGGCATCAGCTGTGCCAGGCACTGGTATAGGCATCAAAGCCTGTGCTGAAACCTGACCCCCAGCCAAAATCTGGCACCGAGAAGGGGCAAGCTCATGGGGGCCAGGCATACCTTGGTGTCTGTGAGCAGTCCTCATCCCTGGGGAGTGTGGACACTGACCTGAAAACTCTCCCATGGGGCTGTGGCAGCGGGGTCTGCCTGCTCTCCCCACAGGCTGCAGTCCCTTGCTGCCTTGTTCCTGGGCATGTGCAAAAGAAGTTGGGTTTTTTTTCACTTGTGCGATGCCGGATTCACCTAGGTCCCCTCCCACTGATTACAATGATAATAAAATCACTTTTTCTTGAAATTCCTCTTCTGCCACCCTAAATCCATCCATGTCACAGGTGAAGTGAAAGACGGGCTTGTTCACAGCAAAAGCAAAACTTGGCCTAAACAAACCTCCCCAGCCAGAGCCGACGACTGGCAGCGTGACCTCCCTAGCCCTGCTGTAATCTGGGCTAATGCTTACGGCTCCCGGGGCTTTCCATGAAAATTAATGAGATTATAATCCCCACTAGTCTCTGGCAGCAACACAAAGATTGCATTCCTTGGGAGCGCACAACTTGGCAAGACAGACACGATGGCTTCTTGCTGAATGTGCTATTTTGGCAGTAGGAAGGCGCCTGTGCCACCTCCCAGCCGTGCCAGCGTGGATCGGAGAGGGGAAGGGGGCTCCCGTGGGGTCCGTCCTCGGCAGCAGACTGCCGGATCCTGGAGAGTCCATCCGTACCACAGCAGCCAGAATTTGGCTTTGCAGAAGCCCTCTAAGCCCCAGGGTTCACATGCTTGCACATGAGTGCACCTCTGCCTGTGTGGGTGAGGCGATGCACACGCGTCCACCGCCTTAGAAAGCAATTTTGTTGGACATATGCAACAAGACAGTTCCCACATTGAAAAATTTATAGGGAGGTTCTTGAGCCCATTCTGACTTTTCTATCCTGCCTGTAGATTTATAAGCAAAAAATTTACCCATGCATTTAAAAAACGAAGTACAAAATGTTGTCATTTAAATTAATGGGCTTGTCAGTGCAGTATGCATCTGTAAGGGAGGGGGACTGCAATCAGAAATACAAGATACTAAGCTCCACTACCTCACAGACACACAGACTCAAATAAAAAAAAGCTGGATGGCACCTGGAGAGGTACCAGTTCATCCTCCCACTGCAAGGTAGGATCAGCTCTACTTAAAACCTGGCACATGTCTGTACAATCTGTTTATAAAACCCTCCAGAGGTAGGGACTCCACAACCTCCCTCTGCAAACTACTTCACAGCTTATTTTCCTATACTGCCAGAAAACTTTTACCCTAATGCCTGATCTGGCTTTCTCTTATGCAATTTAAGCAAATTACTTCTTGTCCTGTTTCCAAATTGTGATCTACTAGAGCAAGAAGCATTTAATGAAACAATTCACATATTCAGAAGATCAACAAACTTGCCTGAACACTGCCCCTGTCCCAGGGATTAGGAAAATACAGATGAAGAAGAGCTAAGGCTAAAAGGGGGTGATCCAAGCAAATAAATCTGAGCAAAGGCGAGTGGGTCTTGGAAAAATATCTGCACTAGGAACATCACTCCAGTTTGAGCTATGCAGTATCTATTCTATAGATATGAGATTTGAGTTAAAAGACTCTAAGAGATGGAGAATCCACTATCACCCTACATACATTGTTTCAGTGTTAATTACTCTAATTCTTTATTTCTGGCCTGATTTGCTCAGCTTCAGCCCCCAAACACTGCATCTCATTATTTCTTCTTACATTAAAGAGCAACGTTTAATCTGGCTGACAGCAATCCCTTCTTCACGTTCATGTGCATGGACTGGAGCTCAGCCACCTCTTCACTTTAACTGTTCACAGCAAAGAACAGCTTCTGGGCCTCAGATAAATTCTACAGCTGTTTTCTGAACCCTCTCTATATTATTCAGTCTTCTATCCAAAGCGTGGACCAGACACATGATTCCAGCAGCAGACTCCTCAATGACATGTGGTGATAGTACCACCTACATGTTTTTGAATTAAATCCTTCTACTAGCAGGCACTCAGGATAATGTAGATTTACATAGTACGCTATCTTATGTTAATTCAACTTAGTAGCTACTGCTTAATTCTCAAGCCTTGATTTAAAAAGCTTTTAAACTTAATTACATTCTGGTGGTAGAAGAAATCTGGGTGGATTTACAAAGCAGTGCATGAGGTAGAGCTCTGTTAATAATAACAGTCGTTTTCATTTGACTGATTTTGTGTTTCCTTCAATATATTCCAAATTATAGTAAAAATCCCTGGTTTAAGATGAAAGTTCAAAACTTCAACAATATCTGCTGCATATGTGTCAAACTGAGCTCCAGAAACACTAGAGACTGTTGAAAAGGTGCTCTGATTTAGTAATGAAACAGGCCAAAAGCAAGGGAAAGGGAGCACAGGAGCTTGGGCACACGCTGGCAGCCACAGATTAACTGCACTTCACCCGAGCTGCATGACACTGCCTGGAACAATTAAAACACGGCAGCTGGCATAAAATTCATTTGAACTCCCCCTAGAATGAAAAAAGCAGTTAAACATTACCAGGTCAATGTGGGTTTGCTCAGGCTGAGAGCTCTGACAGACAAACTCTGGCAAATACCGTTGCATCACCCTCATATGTTGTCACCCCTGAGCTCTACCATGCCCTATGCAAGAGGTTACCACCTCTGTAACATCTACCGTGCCCTGGTCAGGAGGTTACCACCTCCATAATATCTACCATGCCCCCGGCAGGAGGTTACCACCTCTGTAACATCTACCATGCCCTAGGCAGGAGGTTAGCAGCTCTCTGGAGGGGAACATTTGCCCTCTTCTCAGCTCTACCAGTCCACAATCCAGGATCCTAGCTCTGATCCCCAACAGAGGCACATTTCTGTTGGATGCCTAGATGAGGAACTGACAACTGCAGAGCTCTTAGAGACAGAGCCCTAAGGCTGCAAATGTATTTACTGCAACCCAGCAGGCACAGGGTAGCTTCTTATATCACCTGCCTGGAAATCTGCGTTTATGCTTCTGCCGCCTTCACTGCTGTGTATTCAGCAAGTCAATGTTACCTGCCAATACCACACTGACAGTCTGTGGAGCAGACAGGAGCTAAATGTATTTCTTCCCATCCCCTGCAAGATGCCACAACTGCAGGAGCAGGTGTTGCCACCTAAAAACATTCCTTTATTCAGCCACTTCATAATGAAATGCAAATAGAAAACCTCTGGTTGCCTTCAAGGCAGTGTCAAGTGAATTATGTACAGATTAAAGGTACGCTAGCTCCTGCAGCTACCCCAAAGGGACTGCCCCAAATACACTGGGACGGTGAGCAGGCTTTAGTCTAACTAACAAAGGAGCAATTAAACTTAATGTGATCCTCTTCTTGCTGCTGAGTGTATCCATTGCAGGCAATGGAGTTTTTGAAATGTTCCTAAATAGGAAGTCAGAACGGTCTAATGGTCAGGAACAAAACAGCAATGCCTTCAGCACTTACATATAGTACCTTAAGTCTTCCAGACTCTAAGTAACCATTAATTAGCCTAACAGGGGGGGTCTGTCATGCTGGATACCCTGACAAAAAACATTCAAATATCACTGAGGTCAATTCACCCTTCACCTTTCCAAGATAATGAACTGCATTTAAGTTACTTGCAGGTATTTGAGAAAAGACCTTCCCTGCTCCTCACAAGACCCCTTGCATCCATGCACCCAGCGGGCTCCCATGGATTCCCCCCCAGGCCAGCCCTGGGGAGGGTGCAAGTGGGAAATGCAGCACCGAAGGGGAACAGACCTGCCCAAACTCATGCCAGCAGCCTGTACCAGAGCATGAACTCACTATCAGGCTTACAGAAGCCTTAAAGACCTCTTGGGGGTTTTGCACAGATGGCACTTCTTGGGTTTCATGGTATGATAGTTTTTTTCCAGCTCTCACATAAAACTTGTAGCTCTTCATAGCTCTAAATCCTGAAAGGTCTGCCTCCAGCCAGATCAGTCAGTTCTTTTAAGACCACTGTTCAGATGCAAAGTTACGAAGCCCTGCACTGCTCTGCACATCTCAAAAGCCTCCTGGCATTCTTTGGGAAGAAATGGGATGCACCAACATCATTTATTTGATATTTCTGTTAAGTCCTACCATTACCTCAGCCACCAGCTAGCTGAGTTTGGTGTTGCTCCTGGTTACACGTTGAAGGCTCTGCTCTGAAAACATCTATGGTTGTGGTCTCCTTTTATTGCTTGTTTGGCTCAGTATTGTATAACTATGCATTTTCTCTATAAGAGCCAGTGCAAGGGGAGCAGGAAGACCTGCCACATCATGGCTAGAAGAGATTCGGGACTTGGATCAAGAAAGTCCTAACCATGAGCCACCCCTAGCCTCAGAGCAGAGAAATGTTCCCCATGCCTCACCTCCTCTTCCAGTTTGATGACCTTGGCTTGCGCGTTGTTTAGGGCCTGGTCGAGGATTTCGATGTGCCTCCGCTGGTCCTCGTTGGCAGAGCGCACAGCTGCCAGCTCCATCTCCAACTTCTCCTTCTCCTTCAAGTGCTCTTTGTCTGGAAGAAAGACAAGAACAAGAGCTGCTCCAGGAGGACAGCTCACAGGCCCTGGGTCACGTGCCAGAGGTAAGCTGCCACATCCCTAGAAAAACAAAAATTATGTGAAGCAGCAGCGAGTGGGGCCATTACAACACAGTGCTGAGACACAGCGGGCAAGGAGTTTCTACTGCCAAGGCTCAGACCCTCAATGCCCAGCCTTACGTGAGTGCCAGCAGCAGAAACAAGTGGCAGCTTGGGCTGCATCTACACTAGCAGAGCTTGTGGACCTGAGCACTGCCTCATAATTGTCCATTCTGCTGAACTACTAGCACGTTCCCCAGCAAAATTTTGGCTTGCACCAGCTACTCCTTTCCCACGCAATGCCCAGGCCCTGCTTGAGGACAGCCTATGTCAAGGGCTGCTTATAGCTGCCAGCTTGGATGCTGCTGCCCTTCTCTAAGGGGAAAGAAACCTCAGCCGTGCGGATGCGGGCTGTGCCGTGCCCGGTCCATTTTATTTGCAAGGATGGAGATCATGAGATACAGAACATGTGAAGAAGCCAAATAATAAACACAGATCCGTGCTGGACAGCTTGAAAATTGAAAGAGGGGAAAGCAATAAGGAAGAATAAGATAGGAGGCATCTGAACAGGCTTTCTCTGGCCATACAGAGAAAGGGGGGCTGTGGGAGGCATTTCAACCCTGGGGGGGCCCTGGGTGACTTTCCAGTCCTCCTCTAAGCCTCCAGCAATCGGTGCTTCTCCCTTATTAAGCACCTTAAAGCACCAGGAGTGAGACTAAAATGTGTAGATAGCCTCTGTGCTGAAAAATCGTCCCTTTTTTGGGTAAGATTCAAAATGACATTAAAAAAACCCCTAGCTAAATTCAGCTTTGCTCACATCTTTTTCTTCAGGAACAAACTGCAGGCCCACCATGGACGTCACTGGCAAGTTGCCTGGGGAAAGGCTCGGCTCCATCTACCTCTGCCCTGACAGTGCTGAGAAGCCATTTCAGGGAACACGAGCATCATGGGCCAATCACTAGATCCCCAACACCAGCTTGCAAACAGTTAATGACTGGAGGGAGCAGGGGATGGAGGTTTCATTCAGTGAAATCTGAGATTTCAAAATCTGGCCTTCGTTCTGAATGACAACAAAAATAGAGCACTTGGCAAGCCTCCAGGAAGGAAAATTTCCTCCAAAAATTAATTTGGCGTCAATTAAACGTTGTTTTGATTTTTTTATTTTTTAAACACAGCATTACACAATTTATTATTTTTTAACTGAAGTGAGAAGTTGCTCCAAAAACATGGAAACGTGGAAAATCTGCCCCTCATATCCATCCCATCCCACCCAAGCATGACCATTCAAGCTGGAAGCCCCACCATCCACCTCCCCCTGAGGAGGGTCAGGAAACTTCACATGGCCAAAGCCAGCCCATTTCAGACCTGAACTACCCCCAGAAGGGCCTTATTCTTCCTTAATTACAGGTGGGATGAGAACAGGTTTAATTTACACACTACCGGTAGGTGCCTGCAGCAAGGTGTGACACGTACAAGCTGAGCCATGTGGAACAAGGCACAAGTGGCCGAGGTGAGCCCAAACCCATCCGGCCACCTTCCCATTTATTCTAAAAGGAGGAATTCAGCACCTCACAAAAGCATTCCCTGGCAGCAACACCAGCACACTGGCCTCTGCAAAGTCCACAAGCAAAGCCCAGTGAGTGCCACGCACACTGCGCCACCGACTGCCACCACGAGCCGTCTCAGTATGACATGGTCTTAATCTTCCCACGTCAGCAAGAAGTTTTATCTTGGACATGCAGGTCTCTTCCTTCAACACAAAGACATTTACTTCAATCAGATTCACCAGAAGGAACATTAATATCCATTGTACAAAAGTGTAAATCTGGGCAAATTATCAAGCAGCTAATTTCACTAGAGGGCGAAGAAGCTGGAAGGTGAATGCCATTTCAGCTCTGCAGCACTCCACCATCTCATGCTGGGACCACACTTCCTGTGCTCCAGATTTGAAACCCATACTATAGGAGGACAGCACGTAAAAAAACAGGACTTGGGACCTTCACTTTCAACTTTCATGTGAGGAACTCAAAGCACTCAGCTTGCTCTGCTGCATTACATTTTCTATCCCCCCTAAAAGGAGGACAAGATTATGCTGTACACAAAATGACCACTGAACCCACTAGAAAGCCGACAAGAAAAATTTACTTAACAGCTCTCAACACTTCCGCGCATCAGCTTCTCCCTGAAAAATGCTGGAGGCACATTTTATAAGTACTTTCCTATATTGCATTAATTTTTAGTAAAGAAGGTCTGTGTTGAACAAACCTTAAATTCTCCCAAGTACATACAGGTATCCTTAAAGTCTAAAAATACTGTTTTACTGTGCTACACTTGTGTGTACCTTCTGCCCAGGCATGTACTTTTTACCTAACAGACTCCAGCTAATAATTATTTCTATTTTCTGGTGGGTCACTGCTACATCCCATTACTGAACAGTCCCCAAAAGGCTTCTCTGCTGTAGTTTACGGTTGTAATCTCACAGCTTTCCACCCGCTCTCTCTGACTGTTGTACCTCAACACACTGAGGACATTTTACTCTGTGGCTGGGTAGAAGAAAGAGGAGCTAAAGCCAAAAGCCTGCTTCGGTGCTTCGCAAACAGGCTTTCTGAGTTGTCAAGCTGTGTAGGTACACCAAGAGTAGACCAGTCTTGACCCTGCTTTGAAGCAGAAACATTAGACAGAAAAATACATTCAATCTCTGCCACCCCTTCACTACATTCACGTGACCCCCAGCTTTTCACACAGACCTCATGCTTAACAGAAAGTTTTGATCTGACCAGTCTTGAAAGAAAAATGAGAAATATGTTTTTAACGTACCATTTGCCTATATCAGTTGAATGTGTGCCCTCAAAACCACTATAACTAAACACTATATTACAGATAGCACAGGTCCATCCTGCACGCTTCACGAGGAGTGGCTGTGGTAACCCCTGCATCCCGGCCAAATGCCAACACAGCTCATTGCAATCTTCTCTTCCTGCAGTTTCGCTTACAAACAGCACATTCCCAACAGCCCTCTGGAGTTTGGACCACACCAGCACCAAGAAAAGGCTGAGAAGCTGCAGGAGGTCATGCTCGAGGTCCCTGAGTCTGTTTTCTCACATGGTGATTAACAGGGATTCTGCATTGGCATTAATAATTATGATCAATTGTAACGTACTTAATAAATTGTTCAGTACGTGGTTACTTGTGATCACCGACCTAAGCAGGGATGCAGAAAGGTTTGATGCTTGTTGTCAGAGGAAGTCACCAAATGTCCATTGAAACTCGTGATGGCTTTCCTTGCCCTACGAAGTATCGCAGGCAGCTTAAGCATGGTCTGATTTACAGTTAGGACATTTCCATTTGCATGTTATGAAGTGCAAGTCAGGGGAGAATTTGACCTTCACTTGTTGAAAACTGAAGTCAGATTTCCCACTCCCCTTCGGAGGGCAGGGGGAAGTCATGCAGAACACTCGCATTTTTCTATACGACAGTTTCTTCAGGATGCTGCTCCCTGCGCAGGTGCCCTTGCCTCTGGGTGCAGGGGGACAGCGGCTCCCCGCTTCCCTGCATGCAGCTCACAGCTGTGAAATGAGAGGGCAAGGAGCTCCCTTTCACCTGCCCCTGAAACTTCTGCCTCTGCCCCGATTACTTCCTGTCTTAATACCAAATGGCTCTTAGTCTGCCCAAAACCCCGCTCTCAAAAACATGTACTGTGAGCATTTTCTTTGGCTGGATTCATTCGATGTGAATATTTCTTTGCCTGGGATATTTGGGACAGAGATATATGCACAAGTCATAGGCAGCACATCCACAGCATGCTCCCATGAAGCATGAGGCTCTACCAACACACTGCCAAAACTGTCTACACATCCCCACTAATGGGTGCAGAGCCACGTGGATGGGCACAGACCTCCATCTGCCTCAGACACCTGAAAAAACAGCCCCTTGGAGGAACCCCTGCTCTGACAGAGTGTCTGTAAGTCCAGAAATCCCAGAAAAACACACAGAATTCTCAGACTCCACTAAAACAAATTTTTCCCATGATATGCTGTATCATAAGCTTTCTCTCTGCCCTATGCCCTTGAAACCATCCTCAGTCTTCCTGCCCCTCCCTTTCTACAGCATCTCTCAGCCTCCTCGTGCCTGGCTCTTCTCTCAGCTGTATGGGCCCATACGCCTTCATCGGTTGCTGCTCCATGTCTTTCCTTAAAAGAACCTTTTTCACTGACAAAACATCACATAATTATCATGAAACTAATAGGCTGTGAGTTCTCTCCTACCCCCGATACAACAGTAGCGTTTTTCTTAGGCACAAATGCCTAGCACTTAATACTTTGAGGCATGCAGCCTGGCTTTGCCTATTATTATTACAAAAAATAAGAGGTTTTGTCACCTCCGGTCTCTACCTCAGAGCGCACAACTGCTCTGCACTGTTGCACTGCTAATGGACACCTGTGCAAGGAACAAGAAATGATCCCTGCACGTCCTGCCTTGCCAGACTGCTTTTTCAGGGAGTTTTTCCTATTGCTGGAGTTTTACCACAGTATTAATTCTGCATTTGCAGTATTACCAAGAACAAGCATTAAAAAAACCTCAAGAGTTTTATCTTTCCTTCTTCATCTCATCATGACACTGCCTTAAAAATGATAGCTTGTAGGAACCTACTGATGTTGGAATCTTTTTACATAACTTGGGTTGGGCGTGTTAAGGGTCATGTTTTCAGGCTGTTTTCCATAAACGTAGGGATTAGAAATCTGCTTTTGCTTTTCTAATGAAAACTAAGATTTGCATTTACTAATCTGACTTAATAAGCTACTACCCTTAGGAAAAAAACAAACACAAGTTTCACAACAAAATTGCAACAGCTGATGGGAGCGCATGTAGACACCAGTTTTTTTCTTCTAAAAATGACTATTTCAGGCTCAGTAGACAAGTGTACACATGGCAGCTAAAATAAGCTGCACCCCTTCTCCTCTCATTTTTCTGCCTGAGCATCCCATCAAAAGACATGAGGAGGGTACAGACCATGCTTGCAAAACCCCTAGGTTGGCAGTGAGGTGCAGCCCGGGTCATGGTCTGCCCCTGCGGAAGACTCACAAACATCAGGATATAAATGCAGTCAGCAACAGAGGATTTCCAAGCAAAACCTTTTACGGGCTCTCAGAGGGGTGTTTTAGGCTGATATCGAGGTCATTACTGCATGTGCCCCAGCAGCCCAAAGAACACGACTGAAGAGGACCTGCTTTACATGTGCCCGTTTTTCTATTCTTGGAAGCACTCCGCATCACATTGGTAACATTTAGCTCTCTGGCCTAGCCAGGAGACACTCCAAGCATCCAGCCTGTCTTATGTGATAGGATACGAAAAGCTATATTTGTTTGTAAGCTGTGAATTGATAGCAGTAATACGCTGAGTGCACAGCGCAAAGTTTTATTGCTAGATATTTATCAGTAGAAGCACAGAGCGTGTTTATGAACTGGAAAATCACTCAAATTCAGTCCATCCTGGGGATTTAACTCCCCCTTGCAGCTACCAGCATATGGGAACACTGCCAGGCTGTCTCTATACGAAGACAGCAGACCCCACTCTGCAATTTGCACTGTGCAACTTACCCTGTTTGAACTCTTCCCAAGGATGACAAGATTTGCATAGCGATGCTATTTTCTCAACAGATCATCCCCTTGGATTCGCAGCAGTACCTACATGCCCCTATGGCTTCTGCTAATATGGCAAAGGTAACACAGTCATGGAAAAGATCATTCGATTCTCTTCTGGTTTGTGCACACATGCACAATTATTAGCAAAGTTGCCGAGCTGGCATCGCCACTGCTGGTGGGAGCTAGGAGAAGGCTCTCCTGCACTTGGAGGAGCAGGTGGACATTGCAGGGCTGGCAGTGAGGCACACTGAGTGGTATCAAACACCACACTGCTCATGGAGGTGGCCAGTTCTCCACCTAAGGATTTGCAGTTGCAGCTCATCTTCCAAGGAAGCTTGTGGTGCAATAAATAAAATAGAAGTATCAGTTGTACACAGCATTTCGCTTCAATGGGATTTAAACCTGCAAGGTACTGCACAGCTCCCAGGTGGTCAAGCCCTTCTGGAAGTGTACCGAAGATGCTCAGGATACACGAGAAGCCACGTGCTGTCACACAGCATCCAGCCGCTCGGGTTTTGGTTTTGGCTGGTCACATGGAGCCATCAGCACATGGCAGGGAAATGCCACAGCACTGTGCTCAGTCATTACAGGAGCCTAAAACTTGACAGGAATGGATGCTTTTCATAGCAGTAGAAGTTGTAAAATCTTTGTCTCTTCCAACCTTTGTGAAAAGGTGGGTCCAGCTCTGCTCTGCCTCCTGTTAGTCAACCCCTGTCACTGACAACCAGTCAGCAGAGGTTGCTCTGGGCTTATACCAGCCAACAGAAGAATCTGGCTTCTCTAAAAAGCATGCATCTCCAGAGATTATTTATCAAAAATAAGCTACGTTGTGTTACCGTTAACTCCCACTGCCTGGTTCTGGTGCTCAGAGAGGAAAAAAAAAAAAAACAGCCTAAACAATCCAGTCTGCAGCTTAAATAGAGGATGTGACGAATTAGCTGAGTAAAACCAAGCCATAAGGACAATAACAATTAATAGCAAAGTATTCACCTCCACTCCAGCACATATATATGTGTACGTATATATATATGCACCTTCAAAACAGATTAGCACAGTACTCACTCTGAGTGACATAAAGGCCCTCTGTTGACTTGTCCTCATGCCCATCAAAGTCTCTGCTGGCTAGCTGCCTATTGGCTGTCTCCAGTCGTTCTGCAAAAAACAGGAAATACTTTAAGTATAAATATATGTATATAAAATTGTGGGCCAACCAAGAAAATAAGATGCATGCCAGCAGAGCAGTATAAATAGACTCTCTGAAGGAGGACATTAAAATGGAGGCTGACACATACATAAAAGATGAGGCCTTTGACCTCTTCCATGAAGCTGTGTCATTCAGATTTACAGAAACTGGGTGAAAAGCCTCTGCCATCGTGGCTGATGTGCCCAGGCAGTTCACCTCTCATACTGTCCAAAATGCACAAGGCATTTGCAATCTGAATTACCCAGCTCTGCAAGGGTATAGGTGCCTTCCTGCAGTGGAATGCTGCCCCTGGTGCAGCAAGACGCCCTGGGAGAAGGCAGCCCACAGCCCAGTGACACCAATCCTTGGGGATGCCCTGGGAAAGGAGCAGTTTTCTGTAGCCAGGGACAGCTTCCCCAGGAAGGTCCTGCCTCCAGGTGCCTCCCTCCTCCAAAAAGACCATGCAATCCTCCTTGCACCACTGCAAAAAGCCTGAGCCAGCTTGCAGAAAGCATCTCACTGCACAAAGAGGTACCAAAGTGCCCCCATCAGGAACCTGGACAGGTAATAGCTACCCAACATATCCTCCATTCGCTTTCTCAAAAGGATATACCCTCAATTTTATGTTTTTAATACAAAAAAGACATACCCTTTGATACTTGCTACTAGTTTGTGAAGGCACTGAATTTTGAGATTTATGGGTTGTACAGTATTGCTCTGTATTGCAACTTGCTCTTCAGCTCATTAGAGCTGGACAAGACTTCGGGACTGGTGGCCTTGCTGTCAAATCAATATTTGCAAGTGCTAAATGCAAAGGCACCATCTGAAGCTGACTCATATTCTGCCAGAAGGTTTCCTTGCCACCAGGGGGGTGACAGTTTTGTCTTATGCCAACGAGCAGGGTCTGATTTCTCAAGATGTTTATCTAAAACATGTGTGAAGCTACTCCTCTAAAGCCTGCTGCTCTGGAGCTTGTGAGAAGTGAAACACCATGTCAATCAGGGAAAAAAAACCACACACAAGCAAGTGTAACATACCACGGAGATCCCTGTTGAAGTCATGAAGTCTCCTAATTTCTCCTTCGAGTTTGTTTCTCATCGCTTTGTCCAGAGACTCCCTCTTAGTGGTGGTCTTGACCAAGCCCTCATAAGCTTCTGAAATCCTTTGAATCTCTATTTCAAACTGAAAGGAGAGAGAGCTCCTGTTAAAGCCCAGCAGGAA